TCTCTCTCTCTCTCTCTCTCTCTCTCTCTCTCTCTCTCTCTCCAGTACTAACCTATGAAGTTGGCGCCTTGATGCAGGTACCTTGAAGATGGAGCTGGAGCTATGGCGCCACAGGTAAGTCTCGCTGGCCTCCGCCAGCCATCTCTCCCAACTCTACGATCTACCACCTACCAACGCCCAGCGCTGAAGACTACTGCTATGGCTATGGGCGCCCAACGCCGAAGACTATAGCTAATGCTGAAGACTACTGCCTAACGCTAAAGACTACTGTATCGCTCCTCCTTAGTGCTGCGGCCGAATCCTGAAGACTACTCGTCCTACTGACAACTACCTACCCGTGAAGTGCATGGGAACTTCCTATGTACTACCGGGTGTGCCTTCTGACTACAGGCGAGGCAGTCCAGGAGGCTGCTCTTACCAATGCCTACGGGAGGCAGGGGCTGCAGCTGCAGCTCCTGCTCGAGCTGGCGTGGGGAACAGGCTATTTCTGGCCTGTTCCGAAACCCTGTTTTCGTGCCTGAGTCTTAGGTAGGTCGAACACAATGAGGGCCTGAAAATGACCCTCCGTTTCAGGCTAAAATGCCTCTGGGCCTGAAAGGCCCAAAAATAGGCTGAAACGGAATAGGGCCTGCAGGCCCTCGTGTTTCAGCTTTCAGACTGAAAGGACCGGGGCCTGTAAGCCCTAAGTTTTAGGCTTTTAGGCTGAAAGTGCGGGACAGGCCCTGCAGGGCCCGTGTGGCTACGCAGTATGCCACACCCCCCCCTCCTTGAAAGACCGAGCTTACCTGCGAGGGCGAAGCTGTCTGTCTGAGGGAGGGACCACAGTCCGGGTGGGAGGGGCAGGTCGTGGAGGTCCCTTAGCTAACCTTTGTCGCCCGTAGTGAGCGTAGATCAGCGGTGCGGATGCTTTCAAATCTGCTCCTGAAATCCACCGAGTGTCATCGGGATCGCATGCTTTGAATGTAACTTTGTACTGTCGCGGCTTGCTGCCGTACTTGCGATCCGAGATGACGCGGTCAACCTCCTGATGACCATCCATAGATGGAGGGTCCTGCGATCGTCGGCCCGAAAAGTCGTCGCTCTTAGCTGGCGTGTATGTTACCGGCTTCGAGGCGTGAAAGACTGGATGGACCGTCAGATGCTCGGGAATGTTGATCACAAATGAAGGGCCATCGGGCTCATCGCCTGCAGCTGATGTCACAGACCATGGTCCAAACCACTTAGGAAGCAGTTTGCGTGAAACATCCTGTTCCAGTGCAAACTCTTCCGCGGAGACCCAAACCAGATCACCAATGCGGATGAGACATGGTACGCGACGCCTGTTGGCTTGCTGCTGCATGCGGACTTGAGCCTTTTGCATGTTCGTGCGGGCTTGAGTCAGCAATTCCCTATACTTCCGGATGGAAGCGGGAGAGCAAGCAGCGTCAATGTCGGCTGGTTGAGGGAGGAGAAGGTCGGCGAAGATCCGGCCTTTCCGTCCACCGTGGTGCAACTCGAATGGAGTCATGCCGATCGCCGGATGCACCGAAGTGTTGTAGGCGAACTCGATGTCGGGGAGGCGGTCAGCCCAATCTTTCTGGTCCGGACGGATGAGCGTACGAAGCATCACTTGAGCGGTTTGATGTGCCCGCTCCGTTTGCCCGTCCGTCTGTGGATGCAGAGCCGAACCTGGTTTCATCTTTGTGCCGGACTCCTGCATGAGAGCAGTCCAAAATGCCGACATGAAGCGAGTGTCGCGGTCGCTGACTATATCTTCTGGTACACCGTGGCTACAAATCCAACCAGTGTGCAGGAGGCACGCCAGCTCGGGAGCCATGGAGTAGTACTTGCAAGGAAGAAAACGCGCGTACTTACTCAATCGGTCCACAACCGTGAGGATGCCGCCGTGCCCGAGCCGGTTGCGAGGGAACGGACCGGTGACGTCCATGGCAATGGAGAGACCGGGTTCCCGTGGGATAGGCATCGGGCGTAACTCGCCATAGGGATTGCGGTTGCGGGGTTTGCTGCGTCGGCAAACTTCGTAAGAGTCGCAATACCGAGTGACATCGGTAATGAGGTCAGGCCATCGGAATCGTCGTCGAAGCCGTGCAATAGTGCGGTTGACTCCGAAATGGCCGGCGAGTCGCGAGTCATGGTACTCCTCGAGAAGGCGAGTCCGAAGACGACAGTCTCGTGGGACACACAATAAGTCCTTGCCTCTCGAGTGGAGGAGCAAGTATCCGTCGGCAATGCGATAATGGCTGGCCGGCGGGTGATCCGAAGATAGTTGTGCGTACAGTATGGCGAAGTCCGGATCAGACTCATATGCCCGGATGAAGTGTCGCTGAAGCTCCTTGTCGAATGCGAAGGCATGATGTGTCATAGCGCAAAGATCAGGTCTTCACGAGAGTGCATCTGCTGCGCGATTTGAGAGGCCGGAAAGATGTTTCAGTGTGAAGTCAAATTGGTCAATGAAGTACATCCATCGTCCGATCGTGCTGCTCACCGTATCCTGTGTCTTGTAGTAGGTCAATGGATTGTTGTTTGTAACCCATGTGAACCTACGACGCCCAAGGAGGAAGTGCCGCCATCGCTTGAGAGTCATGACGAATGCGAGCAGCTCCTTCTTCCTTGCATCATCAAGCGAGTTGATGGGAGGCACTTTGTGGCTGAAATACTCCACAGGGTGCCAGTCATCGCCGTCGTGTTGTTCCAAGACTGCCCCAGTGCCATAGCCGGAAGCGTTCGTAGTCACTCTCATAGGCAGGACGGGGTCATAGATGCTAAGGACGGGTGCCATGAGCATGGCCGTCTTGAGTGCTTGGAATGACCAGCGTGCGTCGTCATCAAATACGAATGGCACCTTTGGCGACTGTAACCTCGTCATAGGTGCAACAATCCTGGAGTATCCGGTGATGAATCGCTGATAGTAGCCTGCCAACCCCATGAATGAACGAACGTCCGTGGTGTTGGTGGGCTCGGGCCATACTCGTAGGGCTTCGATCTTGTCCGCAAGCGGACGGATGCCTTGCGGCGTCACATAATGTCCCAAGTACTCCAGCTCCTGTCGCGCGAATTCGCACTTGTCGCGGTTGGCTTTGTACTTGGCTTGTCGTAGCCGCTCCAAAACGGTGCGCAAGTGTTCCACATGCTCCCCCAAACTCCAGCTGTACACCAGGATGTCGTCGAGGTAGATAAGTACGTATCGATCCAGCATGTGTCGAAACTCCATTGTCATAGCCGCTTGGAAAGTGGTCGGGGCATTCATAAGGCCAAATGGCATAACCAGCCATTCGAAATGTCCATATCGCGTCTTAAACGCGGTCTTGTAGCGATCCTCCTGTCGGATCTCGAGTTGGTGATATCCCGACTTGAGATCAAGCTTGGAGAAGAACTTGGCGCCGCCCAATCGCTCGAGAAGATCGTCGATGCGTGGGAGAGGGCCGACGTTTCTGATCGTCTGCGCGTTGAGCTTGCGATAATCGATGCACAACCGCAAATCCTTGTTCTTCTTCGGGACGAAGAGAACAGGAGCACCGTATGGCGATGAGCTAGGCCGAATCTAGCCTTTCTCCAGAAGGTCGTCGAGTTGTGCCCGAAGCACACTTAACTCTTCCTCGCTCATTCGGTAGATGCAACCACGTGGAGGTACGGCCCCGTCCTCGAGGATGATTTCGTGGCGTATGGGCCGATCCGGTACTACTCCGTGCGGGCCTTCGAACATGTTGCTGTAGGCGTCGAGAAGCTCGGTGATGCGTGGATCCGAAGAAGAGTCCGTCGATGAAGCGTCATGGGGCGGCAGGGCGTGAAGAAAATACACCCCCATCTCCTCGATGTCGTCTCTGATGATGGAAGCTCGCATGCTTGCGGCAGATACCACGTGACGCTTGGGTGAAGAGGAGCTACCGTGCATGGGACTAGTACTCCATTCCGATCACGAACGTGAACGGTGCGGCGGTAGAAGTTCACCGGGTGGTCCTCGCTTCGCAGTCATGACATGCCCAAGATCATGTCGAATTTGGTGTCCAGAATGTCAAAGGACATCGCCTCACTTGCGTGAGGGGCAAAGTACACTAGGACGTTATCAATGCACCGGTCGATTGACTTGTGCGTGTGACCGTCCACCAACGTGACTTGCGTGGGCTGGGACTTCCTTCGGACTCGTGGGCCAAGGCCGGCGCGTACCATGAAGTCCTGATTCATGTAGTTGCGAGATGCTCCGCAATCGATCAAAGCGTTGCAAGTCGCCTCTCCGATCTGAATGCGTACATATAGCAATGATGCGTCGATGTCGTCGTACCGTTGCGTCTTTAACTCACGGTCGATCTTCGCAATGTAGGCGTGAAGGTCGACAACCTCTACTCCGGTGTCCATCAATGGAGTCGGTACTGAAGTGTGCAAGTAATCCCGCAATTGTGCTTTGAGCACATTGCAATGCGGTTTCGGCAATCGACCGGACCGGGGCTGGGGCATCCATTGGAAGTCCTTAAAAGTCAACGGGTCGAGCTCTTCAAGTCTTGACCATGACGTTGAATCCCCGATGGTAGATGACGGCGAAGCTGCCGAATCGGTTGCCGATGGTGATGAAACCGTGCATGCGGTACAGTGTTGCACGTGGAGCGGTTGGTCCAGCGGTGGGACCAAGTGGACAGCATAATCCTCGTAAGTGTACCGAGGACTTGCGACATTCGCATCCTCCCTTGATGTGTAGGAGGCCGCTAGCAAGGCGGCCGAATCTGGCGGAGTGGGAGGTGGAGTCGCCTCACCTTCCGCGAAACTCAATTTCCCGAGTTGAGACGAGGCCGCACATCCTCCTTGGCCTGATCCTGGCAAAGGGAGGACTTGTGCTTGGTGTTGTTCCACCAGTAGCAGCAGCCGTAATGGCCGCGGTACTTGTACTCGGCCTCGGTCATACCGAACTTGACCCATAGTGGTGTTGGCTGTCCATTTCCGGCCGACGATGCTGATTTCGCCTTCCCGTTCACTCGGGGTTTGTTGTTGCTTCACGGCTGGACAGCAGCCACCTGATCTCCCTCACGTGACGCTTGGGTGGCTGCCGGGTCTTCCACAGTGTTGTCCGATTGGACTGCAGCGAACTGCCGCTGTCGCGGACCAGTTCTCACCTTCTCCACATAGGTTGGCTGCCACGTTGACTTCTCGTGTGCAGCTGACCTGTTGGTCTTGATGATCTCCCTTGCCTTATCAATGATCTCAGCGAAGGTGGTGTATTGCTCGCGATCACCAAGTATTTGGCTCAGTGCAACACATGACCTGTTGTATAACTCACGGCGTAGATGCGTGAATGGTAAGTCCAGATCGGGCACTGCCGCGATCTTCTGCCATTCCGTGAGCCAGTCACGTGTTGTTGTGTTGCCCTGAGACATGGTGAAGAGACGGTTGATGGCTAGTGCTGGTGCGTCGTCGACGATGAACCGCTTCTTCCACAGCCGTGTCAACTCTTCCCATGTGATCTTGTCCTTCAGATCTGCGACGTCGACGTCGTGGGTGGCTGCCATGTGAGTTAACCAGATTTGGCATCCGCCCTTCGAGTTCATGAACAGGGCGCCGATGTACGCGTGCTTGGCGACAGGCAGAATCCGCAGTTGCGTCGTGAAAGCTTCCCACCAAAGCACCGGGTCCTGATGCGTGTAGTCGTCGAACTTCTCCAGTTGAAAGGTTGGCATCTTGTATTGCTTTGGATTGTTGCCATCCGTGTTCGTCGACTGCAGTTGCTGGATCTCAGTCTTCAACGTGTCCAGTTGGCTGCTGATGGTGGTTGGCGCCGCGAAGGTGCTGATGTCGCCCAGCATTGCCACTAAGTGGTCAACGCGTTCCTCGAGTTGGCGACTAGAGGGTGCACTGCTGGAAGCCGCAACATATGGTCATGGTACAGCCTGTTCCAGGTCCAATACACGGGAATTTAGTGCCCGTGTTGCATCCTCGTGGCTTTGCACTATCCGGCGGAGGTTCGCCAACTTCTGGTGCTGTGTCTTCAGATCCTGGTGCTGTTGCTGCAGTTCCTGGTTCTGTTTCTCTAACTCGGACCGTTGGTAGTTGCAAGCATACAACAACCGTGTCACGAGCTTAGAGAGGAACTCCTTATGCTGCTCTTCCGGTGTTGCGTCTCGCCGTTCGGTTCAAAGTGCCAGAACTTGAGTCTCTCGATGTTGTTGGCTTCATGCCGCTGCAGCAGATCCTGGGCTTCCTTGCGGCGAGCCTGGGCATCTGCGTCTGCTTCGGCTTGTAGCCGCTGTTTCTCCTCTGTTGCCGCTGCTTCAGCCTGTAGGCGGGCAGCCTCGGCTGCCAGCTGGCGTTGTTCCTCAGCCTCGATGAGAGCAATCTGAGCCTGGAACCGCTTTTTGTAGTCGGCAAGCGACTCATTGGCCAGTTGGCCCTGGCATGCCCAGAGCTGGACCTGTCATGCTGACGTGGCACTGTGACTGACGTGGCACTGCTGACGTGGCACTGCTGTCGTGTCACTGCTGACGAGGCACTGTTGCTTACGTGACACTGTCTGACGTGTCACTGTGTCTGACGTGGCACTG